GACATACGACAGACAGACATACGACAGACGGACATACGACAGACGGACACAACAGACAGACACAACAGACGGACATATGATAAAGGATTGCACAAACAGACAGAAAAATGGATGGACGAGGACAGACATATGACTATACGACAAACAGACAGACGGACAGACAATTTTACAAATAGACAGACATAAGGACGAAAAGAAGGAAGATTATCAAGTAGAGGAATGGACAGACAGACAGACAGACAAACAGACAGATGGACAGACAGACAGATGGACAGACAGACAGATGGACAGACGGACAGACAGACAGCACACAGACAGACAGATAGCATACTCACATCTGTTAACAAGTCCACAACCTCCTGTTGTGTCTTCTCAATCATAAGGTCAATAATTCTCAGTATTTCACGTTTGGACCTGTTTAACACTGATGTCGTCTGGACTTCAGCATTCTGGGAGGGCTGGTGACGAACGTGGCTGTATACCGAAATGGCTGATGGGGAGGGTTGGTTGAATGACATCGAAGATAACGTAGAAACACTTCGAGCAACCTTGGTGGGTTTAAAAAAGACGTATTCCTTACTATCAATCACGTGACCTTTTTGACGCGTTCAAGGGTTTCCCAAAGATGTCTTTTTTTATAATAGAGCGTCTTCACTCGAGTTAGAAGGCAGCCATGTTGGTGTACCAAACATTAGAAACTTTCTGAACAGTATTTGCATAAAAATAGAATTTGATTCCCCGAGGATAGAAAATGTATTGTTTTGGTACACCAATATGGCCGCTGTGACATCACGTGAAAACGCTCTATAAAGGTTCTGCACTATTGCTTGCCGGCGCACATAATACGGCTTGGACTGCCGGTGGTTGGATGGCAGAACAATAAAATCCCTTTGCTCTTGGGAAATGAACTCCATTTTATGTAAAACGATCGTTTTGTTCCTGCCATCTAACATGGCTGCCATCACGTGATGGTGCAAAAATTCTATTGAGGAATTTCAATAAAAAATATAAACTCAGCACAAAAAAATTGACAAACCTCTTTAGCAATTGTAGCGATAAATACTGATGGTCTTGCCGTTGCTATTAGCGACAGCGCATGCCTAGCAGAGCGACGAGTGTCTGCAGCAGGGGACAGCGGTAATCCTTTCTTGAATGAGAGATCGCGGTATTTATCGTCAGCGGATAGCTCCAAGAGTGCAAGTAATACCGCTGACACATCCATATATGGTTCCCATATTGTGAATCCTCGACCAATCAGATCGATAGCTGCTCTTCTGACTGACGTGTGAGCGGTTTGTTTGGAGGAAGGAGTCTTGAGTAGAAGGTACATTAAAGCTTTACCCGTGTGTCGTACGGTGTTATAATCCATGATGGAGGCTTCAGCTGGAGGAAATGAAAACAAATCAGCAAGATTTTTCAAGTAAGATCAGCATTCTCTTCCTCATCATCATCAGCAACATCACCATTACCATCATCATCATCATCACCATTATCCACACCATCATCACAATTTATAATATGACCACCATCACCGGCAACGCCACCAGAGCAATAGACCCCTTACATTGAAATCAAGGCAGCTAATTTTAGAGGACAAACAGAAAAATTCAATCTCCTGAGAATTGGAAACCTATTGTCATGCCCTCCAAATTGAGCTACATTCTGACGTGCCGCAAGGTGTCTATAAAAAGAGCAACAAACAAAAACAACAAAAAAACAAGAAAAGAAAGAAAGAAGAAAGAAAGAAAAACTGTGACAGTAACCACCAAAGTTGCAGAAATACAAAGATGTCTGTATCGCTCCGTACTTTCGTTCCCTTTACGGGCCTTGGCTTTAGAATTCCCGCCATTTCGCTTCTCGTACACCTCCACTTCTCCTTGAAACTCTGCGCCAATCACACCCATCAAAACAATAGCTGTTGCCTGGCGACGGCGCATGTCATATTGAAGAAGCTTCTTGACGCTGGACAAGACAGTGCTGACATCATCACTTGGGAAAATCACCTCGTCTTCATAAGACTCCAGACGTTCTACTAATTAAATAATAAATTACTAATTAAAACAGTGTATGATTATGTAACAAAGCTTATTAATTATGATACGTTCTTACCTCCGGGACCAAAAAGCTGGGGGCTCATAGGTGCTGATAGATTAGGGTCTAATGTGGACTCGGATGCAGACCCTGCAACGCTTGGGTCTTCTAACTTTTTAGGTAGTTGTGGAGCCCAGGTCTCGACGACCTTTTTTCGACACTCGAAACCAATTCTCCGGAGCTCTGCAAGAAGAATGGCCTGAGCTGCTTCACGCACCTAGAATAGAAATACCATGAACTTAGTGACGTCATTTCCGGTAAGGCGAAATAAGATTTATATATTTGTAAATGCAGGAGCGTAGCAAGGTCTCGATTATGGAGGAAGCATTGTACCATTTTCCCGCCAAATCCACAGGAATCCCGCATGATAAATGTTGGTGCCAAAAGCAAATTTTTAGGGGGCACTAGGACTCCCCACGCTAGTGTATAAATGAGTGGGCAGTTTGAATATTTGACATTGGAAAATACGCGATTTTTAAAATTTATTTTACCTCCAAGCATCTGTCTTGCCATCGTCGCGCTAAGAGATGAAGTAATGGAGGCTTATACGAAGGTACTCTCAACAAATCCGCCAGCAAGCAACAATGTAAGGCAGCCAGCTGACTCCACCCAGCTTTAATATGCGCGCGATGATTCATTGCTAGTTGGACGTCAGAGTCTTTGGACGCGGATCTTGGGATTCCTTCATTATCGTCTTCATAGCTCGAAGAGGACATTGGGATATCACGGCTGGCGTTGGTCAGAAGGGCAAGGCGCTTCTCTGACGTAATAAAACTGACCTGTGAAAACAAGAAAAAATTTTCGTTGAATCTCTCTTGTTTTACTCTCTTAGCGCTTGGGATCCCTAAGTGGTAAAGGAGACAGGAAGGGTACAAACCACAGGTAACCCACCAAAAAGATGAGAACGAGAAGCCCTGCGCAGAGGGTTGGTTTGATCTGTTTTATAATCTATGGAAAACGCTATTCGATTCGTTGCGCATGCGCATTAAAAGCTAAATGATAAGTATGTAATATACCTGGTTCATGCTCATCAAGGTATTTGCTACCGACACGAGTCCCACAAGGTGTAGCGTCGTCAGAGCCGATGACAACTGCCAACGAGAATGCGAAAACTTGTCTTCGGAAACGTTCGACGACGTTCGGCGCTTACGAACAATTTCTTCGGCGAGTAGTCTCGGCATGGATTCGGAAATTTTCGGTTCTTCGTTCGATTCTTCACCATACCAGCCTGGGAACATTAGGGAAAGTCTTCCGCCCCGTGTCATGAGGCCAAACGAGATTGGCTTTGTCGGTCTCAGAAGTCCCAGGCGTTCCACGCATACTTCATCCATACTAGAGTCCAGTCCCCAAGAATGTAGAGCCGAGATCATGAGCTGTGCAACATCTAGTGTCTCATCAACTGGCTGCATGGAGAGATTTGTCTTTCGTTTGCTTTCACTTGGCTTTTCTACAAAATAAGACCCAGTATTGAATCACTCAAGCGTGCGATTCTTTCATATAAAACCACAGGGAGACCAAAAGCCAGAAATGACATGCGACTTTCGTCACGTGATTTGCGCCGGTTACATTAATGGACCTTGCATGTGACGTCAAAGCAGCTCAATTTGGAAAGCTTAATCTCCCGAGAATTGGAAACCTATTTTCAAGTCCTCCAAATTGGCTTGCATTCTGACGTGCTGCAAGGGGACTATAAGTCTCTCTACACTCTTGTTGTGTCATGTCTCAGCTCCCTATGGACGCTTAAAATTCACACACGAAACTCTATATGTTCTCCGTTATCTTTGTTTGTTTTGCCCTCTGGCAAGATGGCCGCCATAACGTCGAAAAGTCCATTCAGTACTGTGATCTATAGTTCAAACGATTATTACTTACTCGATAACAAGGAATTCTCCTCTTTCATCAGATGACAAATGAGCGCCTCTGTATCAAACAGCATCACGTGAATCTCTGCATCACTCACTGCAGCCTTGGTAGACAGCACCTTAAGCGGCACAAACCCCGTACCAACCACCGTATCCCCGTCCTGCGTCTTTAAAGTCGCTGAAGAACTAGATGATGAAATCCCTGCTTTGGTTTTAAGCTTCTTGACGGCAGCCGTCGCAGCCTGGGTCGGGAGATTTGAGGTGAGGTTGCTAAGTTTCTTACCTAGGGCTCCTCCTTTGGATTTGGACGGGACAGTGGTTGAGGAGACTGGGCTGTTTTCTTCGTCATCGCATGCGGAGAGGATGTCAAGAGCTACTTGACCATTAACGCGTCTATCGAGATGGCCTAAAAAAAATGGTATAAATGAATTCTTGTTTTTCTCTCTTCTCTTGAACCATGAATGCTGCGAGCCTACGAGGTGCCAAAAAAATGATGATGATGGCCATGATGTAATGATGGTGGTGGTGATTATATGATTTAACGGAGCCAAAACGCTTTATCCCAGCCTTGCGCGTCACTTTCTACACGAGCACAAAGCAAATCCCTGGAGCGAGCCTTAAACTCCTTACCAGTCTCCATCTGCCAGACGTATACCGAGCCATCCGAACATCCAACAACAAGAAAGTCATCCAAAGCCCGCCATTTGATAATCTCCACCGGAAACGTGTGTATCGAAGCGACCATGATAGACTTCCGCTCTCGTAGGTTGAGCAAAGCGACCGAGTGGTCAGCGGCTACTGTACAAATACAGTACTGCACGCGATTCTGTTTAAAAAAATTCAAAATGTTGAAATATGACGTCACGTCGTCTAGACAACCAAATAATGTATCCAGGTTTTTATTTTCTAGTTACGTGTGACGTCCACGTCTTTGTCATTTGAACCATTCAGTTTGTTTCCATGTGACGTCATCACCGCCATGTTGGTGTACGTTAATAAAAGATTTCTCGTTAGCTTCTCTT